TCAAAATGATCGCAGCCGACGGGCGATGGAGGCTTTTTGTCCGCTCCGCCGCGGATATTTGCATCCTCCGAAGCGCTCAAGGGCGAGGACGCCGACAAAGGCGAGAGCGCGTGCCAATCCACTCGATTGCCACTCGTCTTCATCATCGCGCCTCCTCCATCGCAGAGCAATGGCAAGGCCCCTTGCCGCTAGAGACCGCAGCCCGCTACTCCGCTACGGCTCCGGTAGAGGTACGCAACTGTAGCCAAGAAGCTGCGGCTGAATGGCCCATTCAATTAAGCACTGACGATGTCGTTGAGAATGCGTTGCTCCCCATCCAGCTGACGACGACAACGATGAATTGTCAACTCGCTCGCGACAGTTCACCATCCCTGACAAGCGTGGCGGGCTACATGTACCTCGACTTCCCTTGAGGACGCTGCTCTACGCGTTGAACGGTGGTGCCCTCTTCGTCTTGCTTTCGCTGTGCATTTCAATGCACAACACGATCTCGCGCCGTGGAAACGCGGGCAGGCAGCAGCGTGTACGTGCCGTTTCGCAGGATTGTAGCACCTTGGCCAGAGCTTTTAGTTGATCGCCGTCTCTTGGATGCTATGTTGTGTCAGAGAGACTGCCAGGGATATCCAGCAGGATACTACGAACGCCCATAAAGAATTGGGTGCCGGGGCGCTGCACTTCATCTCCAAGGATGGACTGCTCCCGATGGCGTTGCTGCCATCTAAGTTCGCAGTGGACTACGTGACTCCGCGCTAGGACCAAGCGTACCGCGGCACGTGCTGGGACTTTGCTACGATAGGATTCTTGGAGCAGTCATACCGCGCACACGGCGTTCGCAAAGGATGGCTCCAACCAGATGAATACGTCGCGTTTTTCGAGCAGGTGAGTTGAACCTGAACAGTATGAACTCTTGAGAACTACTTGTATCATTTTAATGACGCGTTCTGTGATGAATTGCAGGCCTACGGTGTAGAGGTTCTCAAGCTTTGCACTGGTGATGCGGACTCGCTGCAGCAAAAGGATTGCCGTGTCGCCGGAGACGAGGTTTATAAAATTCTACAACTTTCTGCCTTTCTGCAACTAGTGGAAATTGACACGAACGTGAATGTATACACCCTTGTACCTAGATGTGGATGAACTCGACTGAGGGTGGGGAGGTGCCTGAACTCTACTACCTGCAAAATGGGCTCAAAGAGTCCATATTCCCCCAGTCGGTGTGCAAGTACTACACGGATGATGGCAACGATACACTTTGCCCCGGCCTTGAGGCTGCGCAAGCCGCTGGCAACCCCCTCAAGTTTGAACTATCAGTACACCGCTAGTTCCTAACTTGTTTTCGGGATGGCAGAAAGTGAGGCTGACTTCTTTGTTGGCTTTTTGTTGCCGCTGCTATTCTCACAGAGTATGGCGACGAAGTACGAGGACATGTCGGTGCGGGAGCACCTCGTCCGCAAGAATCAGGCGATGCCTCTCTCCACTCCAATTGCGATGGTCACGCATTACTACCCGTGCATTGGGGAGTTCGCTAATGATCGTCACTGCCAGCCCGAGACGTGCACGTTGTGCCCTGGAGACATGGCCACGACAACGTGCTGCATTCCTTTGAAGGGAGGACGGAACCGAAACATGGAAGGAGAGTTCTTCAGCCACCGTGGCATGTCAATCGAGGGTGGTCACGCTATGGTAGGTTACTGCTTACCATGCAGGTGAAGTTGGGATGCTCACATGTAATTGCTGCTCGTACTCCCTTGTGTTTCAGCTTCTTGTAGGCTACAACGACGCCTTTTTGACCCGTGAAGGCTTCACTGGCGGGCTTATCGTCAAAAACTCGTGGGCCGATGGACCCACCCAGGGCAGTCACTCGCTCGCGTACTGGATGCAGGAGGTTTCGGACTGAGAAGAACGCTCCGTGTGTCCTAACAGCTACAAGTACGTACACGATCGAAAGATGCTGCTGTCGCCACCTCGGACTAACTCAACTTGTGCATTTACAACCTTGCGTATCATAGTCCGTTCAACTGGTACCAATGTGGAAACGAGGGGATTTCGCAGGGAAACGAGACCCACGAGTATAATGAAGGAGTCGAAGACTGCCTCTCTGAGGAGACAAAGCTGTTTGCAGACGTCAACATTCAGCCACTGCACCTCAAGTGCAAGGACCCGGAATTGTGCCGCACGGACGGAGACTTTACCTACTTTGTCCGCAACACGACCGACTGGGGCGACCGCATGACCGTCATGTGTCTGTGGGAGTACTCGGCGGAGCTTCACCTGTCGCGTGAGATCTGCCTCCCACCCATGTTGGAGGTGTACATCGCACTCACGCTGGGACCGGTTGAAGAGGAGGTGAAGGAGAACGACACAGACCGGTGCGGATTCTACTTCATCCCGTACGTGGCGCTGCGACAGTGGATCGCCCAGTTTCTGGGCTTCTTCGTCAACAGCTTCGACATCCAGTGGGACCCGCAATCGTACGCTGCCAACAAGGATCTGCATCCGGATCTGGACTACTCGCTGCTCGAGGCGTCCACCAAGAGACAGAACCACAGCGAGTTTTTGGGGCCATTCCCGTACGCTAAGATCGTTGAACGGTTCCAGTAGATGGACCGCAAGAAATTAGCACAGTAACTTCAATGTGTTGAACCAGTCCTGACAAAGTTCCCACAGATTTGTCTGGAGATCCGGTTGCTTTACGTTAGGTAAAGCTGCGCAAACGTGCATGCGCATTTCCGTTCCGACCGACGAGGTATCATTTCGGTATCGACGAGTCGGGTCGACCATCGGAGCATCACTGAGTGCGAGCAAGCAAGCAAAGCTGGATGATCCAGAAGTTCTGGGCCAGAACTGGTGGAGGGCCCTGAAAGCTATCGAACTTGTTGGTCGGAAAGACTGTGTAGTCATCGTCGCCTACTGGTACGGATAATCAGGTGATGCTGTGAGCCGCACTTCGTTAAGCGGCTTTACTTGTAGTATAAGTTACTCGATCGAGGCGAACACGCATACAGGGCGGCACTGCTCACGACAAAACATTCTCGCTCGTGTATGCCGACTAAAGACGGCGCACAGTGCTGGCAAACACGCAAGCAAGCAGGCAACTAAGAGCGAGACGTACACCCATGCTTGCAGTCCAAGCGGGACACGCCGTACAGTTTGCAGGCGGTATACTTCTTGGTCCAAGTGAGCTCGACGCACCGTCGTCCACCTGGCTCGTTCGGGACCTATCGTTAAAACGCAATACGGCTCTGCATCCGCACACGAATTAGGAAGTGGGAAGGCTGCGACGTAGCTTAGCCGCATGAATATGCAGTGCCGAGGTCGTGGACGCCAGAGGTATCTGGGGGCTGTTGCAATCTGCTCCGCGGTCATCACGCTGAGCTTGAAGTCGCGCGGCATCAACGCAAACACCGGGTGGGAACGAGCCCGGCGCGCCGCCACCCCCGTTCGTATACAGTTTTTGCAACCAATCGCGGCGGCGGGTCGCGTTTTGGAGCAAACCGCAGCAACCTCTCAAAGCAGAATAGTGCGTGCACCGCACAAGGGGCCCAAGCCAAGCTGCTGCAGTGCTGGAGCGCAGCGCACCTCAAGCCAAGATGAACATCGTGTTCGTGTGTACCAGCAACACCTGTCGCTCGCCCGTGTCGGAGCTCTTCGCCGTCGAGTACTTCCACCGCAAGCTCAACATGTCGCGCGAGCAGCAGGAGGCGAAGGGCATTGCCATTCGATCCGCGGCGTAAGTGCATCCAGCTGCATTGCAGTTTGCACCTTGTGTCCGCGTAATATGTCTCCGAGGACGAAGTGCTAACGCTGTGGTCTCGTGGTTGGTGGTGGCTGCAGGCTGACGGACGTGTTCGACCGCGAGGGCTCCCCGGCGTCCAAGCACGCCGTGGACGTGATGAAGAAGTACCAGCTGGATCTGTCCAAGCACCGCTCGCAGCTCCTGACTGAGAAAATGTGCATGGAGGCCGACTACGTCGTGTGCGTGGCGAGCGGCATGGTCTTCAAGGTGACGGAAAAGTTCCCTCAGATCAAAGAGCGAGATAACGTGCTGGCCGTCTTCGCGCGCGACGTGCCTGACCCGTGGCACATGTCCTACGACACGTACATGGAGAACATAGCGCAGAACGAGGAGATGACGCGTGACTTCCTCGATAGGCACGTCACGTGGTGAAACCCAAAGGCGTAGTCGAGCAGCGGGTTGTAATAAATACAATTGCGCTGTCAGCAAGTTGTCGTCCAGCGTGAATGCCCAAGGAATGAGTGGTCTGGGTTGACCGCATCTTCAAGGTGACCTTGGCACCCAAGGTCCTCTCAAGTTGGACGTCGCTTCTGTCGGCACAATGCAAAAAGCGGATTGATCCGGTGGCAGATTCAGCTGCAGCTATTGCATCGCAGAGCGGCAAGCTGTGCCGACGTGAAGTTGATCCGTACGGTAGCGACACTACACTACTAGTGTGCCTGCAGTTGCTGCCAAGCACTGCTGTACTTGGTCTCTGTAAAGCATGTCTCAGCGTCGTTTGGATACGCCTGATACCACTCAGATCATATTATATATATATGTATTTTTTTTAATTCTTATCTGTCTATTTCACCAAAAACCACATCTAAAGTACCGATAATTGTGGTAGCTCATACACCTACCCCTAACGTTGATCATTGGATAAAATACCATCTATCGCCCTTCTCATTCGATAATAATCTGTCATCGACATTTGATTGGATCATGACAGCCGTACAGTGGCTAAATATAAAATCATATGTGTCGGCACCGTCACGATATTTATCCGTACCGCGTATCTGGTACATGTCCAAACGCTGCGTTTTGATTCGTCGACACACTAAATACAGCCGTTTCATTGGTCAAAACGGTTTTCGCGCGCAATTTGCGTTTCGCGCCATTCATCGCCACGCTCACAACCGCATTCGCCTTCGAAAGTGCACGTGTCCTCTGTGTTGCGTCCTCCCCCTTGTCGTCCCCCCTCCCCCCCTTACCGGTACTCCGAACAATGCGCACACGAGCTCAGAAGCGCGCACAAATGCCAGCGCTCGCGCAGCAGCTGCAGCAGCGTCTGCGCACGCTGGAGGAGGCCGCGGTCGCCGCTGCCAACGCCCCCCTCAGCCCGCCGGCCCCCAAGAAGCGCAAGACTGACGACGTCTCCGCGTCGCCGCTGCTGCTCACCCCGCACCACCCGAAGCCGCGCACGCCGGTGCTTAGCGTGCTCAAGACGTCGGCCAAGTCCAAGGCCAAGGCGGAGACCAAGCCGAACATGGCCAAGCGCGTGTCTCTGTGCCGCACGCTGCAGTACACGGAGGACTCGCAGGCCGTGCTGCAGCGGATCTGCTCGGGTCAGATGCTGCGCGCCAGCACGTCCATTGTGGGTCGTGAAGAGGAGCACCAAGTAGTTCGTGATGTGCTGAAGGGAGAGCAGCAGAGCAGTCTGTTCATCATCGGCCCCCCGGGAACAGGCAAGAGCTCCTCGGTGAATGAGCTGCTGGTAGAGCAAGGCTACGAAGCGGTGGAGGCCATGTCGTCGCTGAAGCGCAAGCGAAGCAAGAGCGCGAAGGTTGCAGTCAAGTTTAACTGCAGCACCTTCACGGACCCCGCGGCGTTGTATGCCGCTGTGGCGCAGCTGGTGACGCAGGAGACGAGTTGGAAGCTGCCGGAACGACTGGACCCATTCGAGATGGGCATGTTTGTCAAGTATTGTGTGAGTACCAAGGGACAGTCGGTGGTCGTCGTGTTGGACGAGGTGGACCAGTTGCTGCGTCTTCATGCGCGCATGCAGCCGACGGTGAAGGAGGTGCTCCACTTCTTCGTGCGGTGGGCTGCGGCTGCACCGAGTTGTGTCAAGTTCCTGGGCATCATGAACGGCGTCGACATGTACGAGCAGATCTCGCGCGTTCATGTGACTGGTGACAATGCTGTCGACTCGCACGTCCCCCGTGTCGTGTTCGGCTCGTACACACACCAGGACCTGCTGCTGATCATGCACAGCTACCTTCAGAACGCACTCCCGGTGGGTGCCCACACGGCCGACGTGTCCAACTTCATCGAACCCCGAGCTATCGAGCTCATTGCAAGGAAGGTGGCTTCCCGCGATGGCGACGCCCGTCTGGCCATCAGTTTGGTGCAGCAGTCCGCTCGCCACGCTCTTCAGCGCGCAGGAGCTGCGAGCCCTTCGCACTCAGACAAGAACCCTCCGAGCACGGCTCCTGTGGTGGTCTCGCTGCGTGACGTTTTCCATTGCTCGACCTCGATGCTCTCCTCTCCGGTGGCTCAGCAGATCAAGCAGCTGCCAAGACAAGCCAAGTTGCTGCTTTACGTGATCACCGCTCTCGCCCCAGGGTGCAACGACGACGGAAGCAGCACTAGCACCAGCCCTCGCGGAAATCTGCGCAAGTGCGATATGAACCAGGTCAGTGAAGAGCTCGCGCGTCTTCGTGGCCAGCCCCAGACTGCGTGGGTTCCGCGCTTGTCTCGTGAAGAGCTGCAGACCCACTTGATGTCGCTCGACTGCTACGCGCTGGTGAAGAGCGGCAAGCGCGAAAAGGGCTCGCGGACCGCCGCTGCCATGTCCGTCCGCGCGTTTTGGACGACGAAGCTTTCCTCGTGCGTCACGATGGCCGAAGTATCGCGCGCTGTTCAAGACGACAGCTCGCTCTCCCAACTTCTACTACAACTGTAACATGTCAAGCTTTAACTAATAATCAAATTATTCCTGCAACTTTCCAACTTCGTTCAGCGTCGCGCTGAGTTTACAGCAGCCGTCTCCGAGTGCATTTGGCGTTCCAGTGCCTTCTGCGCCTTCTGCACCAGCAACGCGAGCAGCGAGCGGTCTTTCGCTGGGCGCTGTTTAAGTTTCTCCGGCGCCGGGAGCCGCTTGTCGACGGCTTCTTGGACGGCGCGCGGGAGTTCGCGGGAGATGAACTTCAAAATCTCCACGCGATACATGCAAGTGGTCTCCGCATCTAGGAGCATTGGGTCCGACGGTGACGCAGACGCCTGTAGCTGCGCGAGCTTCTGACGAATATCCGAGCCAACGGCCTCCGCCACGGCGTCTGCATCAGCTTCGCGGGTCGGTTCAGTCTGGTCTCGGTGCACGCGCAAGAAGCCCGTGACACGCGCAGTGATGCACGCGAGCAGGTCGGAGCGGATCTCCGAGGCGATGCGACTCAGTTCGCGAACCGCGACGTCCTCTGGGGAGCGGGCGTCGTACACGCTCTGAGGTTCGGAAACGGAAGTAGCTGAGTCAACGCGCAGGCGCTTAAGAGGGGAACGGTTTGTCGTCGGAGAGGGTTGACTAAGTGGTGTGGTTTGATACCATCGGTGCTGCTGGTTCCTGCTGAGCGGTTGTTGCTGCTGTTGCTGATCTTGCTGCTGATTGAAGCTACCGCCGGGCGTGCTCACGTAAGGTCTCGGACTCGGCGTCGGTCGACTGCTGGGGCTGTGATTCACCATGAGCGACTGCACGGGTCTTAAGTGGAAAGAGCCTGAGGCCGGAGTCCGCGGCGTCCTGATGTCGCGCGGCGTCCCAATTCCCTGTCGAAGCTGCAGCAGCGCGAGTTGAGGTCCGGTGGCGTTAGCGCTCGCTGTCGGACTGGGTAACGCAATCGACGGCAGCGATCTATGCGGAGCCGGAGCCACCGACGGCGAGTTGGCAAAGCCCGCGACCTCCTGTCGGTTCAAGCTTCTGCCCCCGTCGTTCTCCGCGCCGTTGAAGCGCTGCAGCAGCGTCTGCAGCAAGGAGGCCAGCTGCTGGTTGGTCCGCTGCATCTTCTGCATCTCCTCGCGCAGGCCACCAACTTCAGCGCGGAGCTCCTCGAACTCGACGCGCTCAATGGGCGTGCCTGCTGCGCCCAGCGGGGTGGAGACCCGCGCGTCGCTGGGCGAGCGGCGCCGGATCTCGCACAGCAGGTCTCTCCTGCCCCTGACGAAGCGGTCGTGGCGGAACTCCCACCAGTCCTTGGGGCTGGCGTCCTCGGCCGCTTCCGCCGCTGCTGCTGCATTTCCCTCCGCCTCCTCGGCCGCCGACGTGGCGCGCACCTTCCTGAAGCCGTAGAGATTGAGCTGCCGCACGAAGGAGCTGAACTTGCGGTGCTTGAAGTACGTGGGGATGACGTGCTCCGCGAAGGCCGTCGGCAGCTTGACCACGAAGCTGTCGCCGCGCGCCGTCCAGCTGGCCAGCTCGGGCGGGCAGCGCTCCAGCAGTTCGTACGTCTTCTCCAGGAATAGCGCGGCCTCCTCCCTGCGGCGCTTGGTGCCGCGCGCGGACCCGGAGCCGTCACCGCCGCCGCCGTCTGGCGTTGGCGTGTCGGCGCTGTCGGATACGGGCGTGGACACGCGGATACGCAGCGGCCGCAGCTCCGCGTCGGCGGATAATGCCGTCGCCGCGCCCTCCCCCTCTACCTGGACGCCCGACGCCATGCTGCTGCTGCTGCTGCTCGGTGATCCCTCGAATTCGGTTGTGCGGACGGACTCTCCCTCCTCCTGTAGCCGGTCGAGCAGAGCAGAGCACGAGGGACTCGTTCCCCCCTTGGCGTCGAGACATGGCAATAATTGGAAGCATCGCCGCGGCTTTGTGCGCCCGGAGTGGCTACAAGCGCCGCGGATTGGTCCGCTGGACGACCCAAGGGGCGCGATTTGATGGGGATCAGCAGGCAGCGGCCGCCTCAACAGTCGGAAGTCGGGCGTGGCGCCCCAAAGTGGCGTATCTTGGGCAGCGAGATGACAAACTTTGGAGACTGTGTGGCACCAAGCTGCTGCTGTTGCTGCGATGTCGCCGCTATCATTGCCATTGCGAGGTGTCCGTAGCTTGTCATTCAGTGCCAGCGAGGGAAAGCAAGCCGGAGAATGGCCAGGCTCGTCTGCAGGCGTCTTCAACGCCGATTGCAACCGTCACATCTTCGATTTTCTCTTCGCTTTGATGGGCCTCGGATGGATGCTCTCTTTCGTAGCGGCGGACCATGCGGGCTGGAAGAGGGGGCCATGGACTCAGCGCGTTCCGCTGGCGTTGATCTGTGCAAGCATGGAGGGCAAGTGCCGGCCTCTATCTGCCTCCACGCGCGCGCGCGCTCGCGCCTTCTCTCCTCTTCTCAAGACGGGCCAGCGCGGGAGGGCTCTGCATTGGCCGGCGCAGCGGATTCACGCCGCCGCCTCGTCCACTTTGCGTGTCCAGTTGAGCATCGAAAACCACTGGTCCTGGCCGAGCACAATGCGGCGATGGCCTGGTCGGCTGCGGCGCATGGACCCCGTTGGTGCTGCAGATTCCCCGGCCGCAATCGATCGACGGCCCCGGCATCGGAAGCCCTCGCCCAGCGTCTCCCAGGAGACGAGCGGCTCCGTACATGTATTCAATTGCAAGTCGTTCCGTCCTCCAACAGGCGGAGATAGACCCACTGGCTCGAGAGAACTACAACTACAGAGCCCCTCCAACTACAGAGCCCCTCGGTGATAATGCCTCAAGCATTGGCCTCAATGAGCTTCTCCGCCCCGCGCCTCCATCTTGCATCACGTGGACATTTTTCAGTGCAATTGCCCCGGAGACATGTTGAAGCGCGGTGCCAACTTTTGTCATTTTTTCACTTGAAATCTGTATGCCGCGCTCTCCGAGCCAACCACCGGCGGCCAAATCATGTTGTGCGTGTCATGTCTTGGCTCATTTGACCAAAATGGCTACCCCCAGCACGCCGTCGAGCCTCGAGACGCCGCCGCCGCGCCGCATGCAGCGCGACCTGGCGCGCGCGCTGTTGGACCCTCAGTCGGGGGGCGTCGCCGGTGCGTTCTGCCATGCTTTTCGCGTTGGTTTAGGCTCTTGAAGCTCCAAATTAGCCTCCGTTTTGACGTGTATCATTCATTCCGCGACTCCAGCCTACGTGCAGGAGTGCGTCCACTCCACGAGCATCGGCGTGGACGCCACCTTCGTCTTCCTGCTGCAAGTGATCGAGGAGATGGACGACGCCATTGGCGAGTTCCTGCCGCTCGCAGCCAATGAGCAGCCGCTGCCCCACGACCACGAGGTCGAACTCGGCACACTGCTGTCCGCTGCGTCGCTGGTACGTTGCACTGCAATGCAATGCAATACCCATGCAATGCAATGGTCAGGAGCTAAAAGACTGCTTGACTACCCTTAATTCGTAGACGATTCGCTATGTGACCGAGCGCCAGGCCATGACGCCGCTGCTGCAGCGGTATCGCGACGCGTTCGACAAGGTTCTGCAGTATCCCGCGTGGACGCACAAGTGCTACTACGGACTCAAGGCGGTGGCGCTGATGGGCACCACGCGAGTGCTCGAGAGCTTCGGAGAGCAGGTGCCTGCGGGCGACGTGCTCAAGCAGCTGCGGTGGCTGTTCCCGCTGTTCAAAGACGAGCAGGTTCAGGCGGAGCTGCGGTTGAACACGCTGCTGCGTCCGGCGTGTGAGTACGTGGCGGTGGCGCTGCAGACCCACCCGGCCGCGAGGGAAGCCATCTTCACGGAGGTGCTGCCGCAGTTGTTGACGCTTGTGACGAAGGAAGGGGCAGAGACACAGGAGACGGCGGTGGCGGAGGCGGTCAAGGTGGAGCTGGCGACGACTGTGGCTGTGCTGCTGGAGGCCAAGTCGCCGTACACTCCGCCCAACACTTTTGCGTTGTTGGTTCTTCCTTCGTTTGTCGAGGAGATGGAAGCGGATGAGTCCAAGGTTTCCAGTAGCAACGCCATGTTTACCGCCAATGCGGAGGCAGACGCCAAGTCGGACAGGTTGGAGACTCTGGACGAAGAGGAGGAGAAACCTTCAGCCACTGCGATCGCGAGGCAGAGGGAAGGGGACTGCTGCAAGGTGCTCTGCACGTGGCTGGAGGTGGAAAGTAGACGGATGGTGGCCGCTCAAGCTCTCGCCGTCATGTACAGGGTCGTTGCCAATGGCACGACGGCAGAGAACGTGGCGAACGGCGCGATCTCACTGACTACTCCACTTGACGAGATGACCAAGGCGTACGTATTCTTTAAGTGTTTGGCGTGTGGATGCTGTCATCTAATTAGTTTGCTCTGTTTACTAGACTCAAGGATACGGAGTTGTCTTCACTTCCTGATTTCGAGTTCATCAACGCGCTGCTCGAGTCGATTCGTGACATTTTTCTTTTCCAGCAAAGATTGGCCGTCCCTGCCCTTGAAGGTGCTTTCAAGGCCATGAGCGGCGTGATGCCTCGACTAGAGGTGAGCAAGATTGACTTAGCTTTGTTCTCTTATGCGTTGACTAATTTGCTTGCATGGTTGATTTACCACAGGCCGGTCTCAAATTATTTTCTAAGAAGCACTCGGCTGAGAGACGCAGCGCCAAGGGAGCTTGTTCAGCCATCCGACACACGCTGGTGGAGGCGTTCCTCGCCTGGCTGCACCACCCCGACGCGGCCACTTTGCTCACGTGCCAGGTGGACTTCTTGCACAACGTGGCTGGCACTCTCGCCGACCCGCGCGTGTACGGCGACGTGATTGCTGTTCTGCGCGCGTCTACGGTTCCAGAGGCGAGCATTGAGTACGATACTGGCCGTCGACTTGCCGTCGTGACGCTCTGCCAAGCCATCAACCAGCTCGCTCGGTATTCCAAGTCAACGGCCAACCGGATCATCTCGGGCCTCACTCGTGTTGCTGCAGCCTGCCGTAGCGACATCCACCCGCTGGCTAACGAGCTCGTGCTACCTCTGCTGCCGTCAATGCTCGACGGATCACAATGGGGCAAGTTCCTGCGTCTTCGCACAGAAGCTGTGGCGACGGTACTTATCGGTTGCGCTGAGAACGACGACTTCCAGGTATGTAGCTGCTGTTGTGTAATGGGTAGAATGGTAGAATCTAATGTAGAGTGATGGTGTTGTGCAGGTCGATAACCACCCTTGGATCAGCGACTTTATCAGCTTCCTGCTTGACCCCGTCGTATCCTCGGAGAACGTGCACTCGCTCATGATCCTGTGCGGATTGATCCGGGCCGAGCGCAAGCTGCTGCTTCACGTCGTGTCGTTCTGCATGGCCAACCCGCAAATGGTCACGCAGACTTTGCACGAGCCTCTCGCGCGGTGGCCGCTCTACGAGGAAGACGTCGAGCTTGTCGTCGTCACGCTGGAGCTGCTCGAGGCGTTGTTGAGCGCCAAAACTCTGCGAGCCACGGTGGACGTCGACGCGATCTATGCCACGATTTTGCAGCTTTCCGAGAACGCGGCAAGCGAAGGCCTGGAGGTGATTTCGACCGTTTGTAAGCAAGTTATGGCATCGCTGGGCTCCCAGCAGTAGATTTTAGTTGTCAAAAGCTGCCTCCAAAGCGTCCGAAGTGTCTAGGAGCTCGCTGCGCCAGCGGAAGGGGGCAGCTCATGTGAAATACCGGGGACTAGCCTCCCACCCACCCACGAACACACGTGCCAGTACAACTCGCCGATCGAAGGCGGGTCCGAGCACTGGTAAAGTATCCCTGCAGACGAGTAGATCTGTATTTGAGGGCGTAAGCAATGTGTCATAGAGAGATTGGACGCCACGAAGCACCTGTACGTGAATCCTTCTTGACAACGCACCACCAGCGACTGGTACTCGCAGCCTTCAAGGCTGTTGATGGTCTCCAGCTCGACATGTCCGTTGCAACCTTCCGAGTTCTGTCTCCACACGTGCCCCACCATCGCTTTGTCCTTCCAGACCTCAACAATCACATCCATACTCTCCGATCCGCCGACGTACGAGAGAATGACTCGAAAAGTTCGCTCCGTAGCGATCACGGGACTTAGTAAGGCCAAGTACCGATTGCCATCTTTCGCTTGCGTTCTACTACTCACCCACGTGACTTTCACGGGCAAAATAACAGGGAAACACTCGGGCGTTGTCACTTCCAGACGATACGTCCCCAGTCTCAGCTTGAATCCTCTCGAACTCCCCACTGCAACGTCCCCGTCACTACGTTCCTCTTTAACAGATAAGTCGCAGATTAAGGGGGTTCTGGCGTTGCGGCGTCTACCAGCAGCAGCGCTTTCAAAGCTCCCGATGGACGAGGCTGAATGGAAGCGAATGTTGGCCAGCTTGGAGCTCGTTTGACTCGAGGCGATGGCTACTATCACCGTCACGCGCACCCCACCAAAGAGAACAGGCATGGTGATTGTCTTGGACGTGCGGTAGCGACCTCCATCCACCACAACCTGCTTCAACGCCGAGTAGAGAACGCAACTGCATTCTCTTAGCACATCCACAGCGTACAAACCTTTGCACACATCCCACGTCGCGCAGCCATTGACGTCGGTCATGACAACTTGTCGCTCCGAGCTGCAGTTGTTGGTGATTTGGAGAGGAATACCAGCAAGTGTAATGTTGATGTGCGGGTGGAAGTAGTCGACCAACTGCACACTGTACGTCCACCGGTAGACGTCCAGGGGGATCACCAGCTCCTGAACTGAAGAAGACGCGGTCGTTGGACCGCTGTACAGCCCCGAGGCGGAGATCGTAGGATAGACGGCGACAAGGGACGTCCACTCGAAGTAGTCGAGGTGGAACACGTACAACGAATAGCTGCCGGGGACTAGACGACAGTTTGCTCTACCGTCACTGTCCGTCACGAACAACTGTCGTCGGTCTTTGATGACCCCTTCTGCGTTATCACCAGACTTTGGCTCTTGACCATCCGAGATGGTTGGGTTATCCGACGAACTCAACTCACCCGCTTCGCTTTTCCTCTCTGAATGATCGTCCGATGAAGCGAATTGAGCCTTTTTGCTCCTCCATTCTTCGAGGAATGCACGTTCGTCTATGACCCTCTTCTCCTTGAATGGTACAGTAACTCCTCGCAGCATTAGATCGAGCTCTGCGAGCTCCCCTCTAGTGGAATGCTGCAGCAAGTCTCGTTCAGATTCGGTGAGGATTAACCGGTTAGTAAAGGCCCGTTGGAGTCGACTTGGGGAGCTCTGTGAGTACTCTCGAGCGTGCTCACTCTTCCGAGCTCTCTCGATAATGCTCACTTTGATCTTCTCGTAGCGTTGGCGCATGACTCTCCTCAGCATGGCTCGTGCTCGAACCACAGAGATCAATTTTACGTTGAGATTTGCAGCTATCGTGGCTCGTTTGGAGGCTTTCGCGATGCATTCATTGACAAACTCTTCGGCCACTTCACGCGTGACCTCAATCGCTCTCTTCTTCTGTAGTCGACGTCGAATGGACATGAGTCTTGAGCCCATCATAAGCGTGGGGAGCACAGTCTTCGCCAGATTCGAGCTCAACGCATCAAACGAGATGTTCTTCTCAATGAAAACGTGCACTTTTTCCACGGGATCGTTCGTCTGCGCACTCACGACGCGAAACTCGACATGCCGCTTCACCCGCTTGTTCTGAGGAGCGAACGGGTTCTGCTGCAGACATTCCTTGATTCCGTGCCGGGATAAAATCCGTAGTATGGTGCGATAAATCGACTGGATGGTTGGTAGAGTTCGGTTGGCCGAGTTGCGGGTGGTGTACGTGTACACGTCGATCTCCTCCTCCACTTCTTGTAGCTTCAGTGCAATCTTTAACCGAAACTTGCTGGAGCTGCTGTCACCTTCAAAAAATGGCACCAGAACGATGCGGCCATTTCGACCGAAGCGGATATTCTTTGCCAGTCGGCGAGCAAACTCCTCGCACTCGCGATTCTCTGGTAAAGGGTTTTCTTTCTCGCTTGAAGTTTCAATGAAATGCACACGGATTTCGTACGTCTGGATGATTCGTAGCTCAGCGAGGAGAACGTTGACTTCGTCGATACTTGCGTAAATGGAGGTGGCATTGCCACACCCTCCAATCGCCTGAAGCTGCCACAGATTATTTTTCTTGGATCGATAAGCAGCGGCTAGAGTGAACCATCGACAGTTTCCATTGGGTCTTGCGTCGAACATACCGAGAACATGGTGCTCCTCGACGTTCTCCAGCTGAATACGAGCTCCTGGGAGTTGATGTAACTGTTCACTGTGGGAATCATTTGCTGCGTCCCCCGCCACTTTTTGTAGTGAGAAGAGCACACAGAAGACTTTGTTCGACAAGGCGGTTAGACGGAGATATACGCGATCTACAATGCCATTGTAGATCGTCTGACCTTGTCGATACGAGATGCCTCCGCGTTTGGTGACTGGGCAACCCTCGTGAACGAAATCGACGAGCTGGAAGTCGTAATCTAGCAAAACACAGACAAAACGCCAGGGTGATCGAGGTCCACCGGTATCGCACATCATGGTCGAAGACACCAGGAGGGTATTCATAAACGGAAGCTTGTATAATCCTGTCGGTGTCGGTGTGAGCATTGACAAACTCGGTAGATCATCCATGCGATGGTTTTGCGCTCGGGAATAAGTATCTTGGATGCGTTTGAGGTAACTTACGACTTCCTGGAGTTCTGTTGCAGCAAAGTAAAACCCAATTTTCTCGAATTCTGCCGAAACTTTCCGTTCTGTCAGTACTAGCTTCCGGTTAATCACGGATTCCATGAACGTCCGCTCTCTGTTGTATCGAGTCTGTCCTGCTAATGCGAGTAAATGTCGGAATGCTTGGATTTGAATTTCTTCGCCAGGGGCCCGCTTGGCTTCGAATAACACGATCGACTCGATCTTCTTCTTGATGTCCTCCAGGTTCGGGAAGCACCCGGTAGAGGCCATTGAGTGTACCACGATACTAACCGATCCCTTACCTGTGTTGCGTGTGAGCTCTATTGTAATCTCGAAAGATCCGATAGGCGGTCGAACGTCTTCGTGGTTCACCACAACGTTCAGTAAGGGGCTCATTTGCTCAATTCCAGACACAATTGCACTCACTTTCTGCTCGTACTCGACTTGAGATCGGCAGATGTGGTCGTGACTTCTCTGGACACTGAACTCCAAGGCATATTGAACCAATACTCGCACATCTCCAGACTGAACAGCAGTCAATAGTAGATTCTCGAATGATTTTGGACTTGCAACCCCCACGTCACAATGAGCATCGTCGAAGAAGTTCGCTAGTAAGACAACCGATCCTTTGGTTGTCGGGGGTAGTACCCCACATACTGCAGAAGTGGATTGTGGAGTTGGTGTCCACATCGGAGGCGCGTTTTGTCTCCAGAATACATTGCGATGAGCATTCACGACGTTCTCAAAGCTTGAGCTGTCGCGTACAGAACCGATCTCGGGGATTGTCAAGGAAATTAGCGGCTCCATTTGGACGCTGGTAGGTATTTTTCCTCCACGAAATTGACCAGGAGAAACTTTCCAAAGCTTGAACGAAGCTATGAGCCCTACAAAGCCGATTCTGGAGCGCCATTCACGGACGCTTCTCGCGTAGGACGGGTGACCTCCTACGTAAACGGAGTTGGAACTTGACGGCGCTTGGACCCATGCAGAGCTCCCACCGGCACGTCTTCCATGCGGAGGACTGGTCGTGAATGAACCATTGTTGTCTATAGGACGTATTCGCGCGCAGTCTACCAGCTCGTTGTCGAAGAATATCTGGAGATATCGGCAGTCGAACACAACTTTCAAGTTCACCCAGCGATTACTGGGCACTTCGTAGTTGTTCGCCCAACATTCCCAATCTCGCCAGCGAACACGACAACCTCCGTCCTCCCCTTTATCTCGATAGTTCGGAAGAACCCCTCGATCATAGATGGAATACGTGGTCTCACCATCGTCAAAATTGTCGACATGGAGTATAGCTGATAAAAGTTTTGGCGTCGACTCGCTCCGGCCTATTCAACAATAATCCGTAACCCATCAGTAAATATTATCCTATCTCTATTACAGGAACTTTAATGCAAAAAATCACCTTCAAGCGTGCTTGAGAATTCACTTCTTTTGCGTGATACCGCAGAGTCTTCCCCTTTGTCAGCTGAGCAGCCGAAAACACTTCGGTTCGTGCTGCCACAGCACAACCACCGGACAAACTCGCCCGAGTCATCGAGCTCAGGCGATTTATGGCGCACTCCATCTTCTTCGCTTTATCGTAAGCACGTAGAACGAAGAGAAACTCATTAATGCCAATAGTCACCTCCATAAAAATCCCTCTCAACACTTACACTTTTGCTTTGTATTTTTCCGTGTCCGCGGCCTTGAATAGCAGCAGGTAGATCGAAAACCCGCCATTACCCAGCAAGCGGGAAGGTTCCGTGCTTTCTGGCCCTTTCGACGCATCGGACAACGGAATTTCGAGAAAGCCGTCTCCATACAGAGAAATCACTGGATTCGTGCTATGTGCAACAGTGGCAGCCTTACTGCTGATCACAACAGAATCAGTTCTTGCGGATTTTACTACCGATACACGGGTTTGGTCCTCAGCCCTGCAGTCAGTAACATGATGTTTATTCCGCTGTAAGATGCACGATAACAGGCCAACACTGTCCCCAAACCTGGATGTAGTCGGCTCGAGTAAAGCAGGCGCCACCTTCTCCTCGATAACTGGGCAGCTCGCAATTGGTAGCAATGATGGTGGTGCAATCTCTTCTGGTATTGAGACCCCTTTGTTGTCATTAGTTGTTCGTTCGTCGCTGTCCGTTCGAACGTAAGGCGCTGGACGTCGTGGATCATTGTTCTTCCTACCGACGAGTGCCGAGCTGGAAGCTGGACGTTGCGGCTTCTTCAGTGGCTTCTTCTTGCCATCGTTCACAGCTCCATAGATGCTCAGCAGCGTTTGCTGTCGCCCCGAGAGACTCATGCCACAACTCAAAGTACAATCGGTCTACCAACGGATCCGTTACACGTCAATTACAATTCTCCAAATTCTGATACTAGCGTCTATTCATACCATATCGATCAATGTAGGTGCGCGTAGTACGATAGATAGGAAATGTTTTAGATCGCACTCGTATTCTGCAAGCTCCAGATGCTAAAACCCCGCTAGATGCATGCGTGTTGGGCACTGCCTGCGTGGGATCAGTCCGGTTAATTCGATCTAGTCGAGTTAGCTTCGGGTGTCCAGCAAAAAATTAAAACATTATTTGGGACGAAGTCCCCTCTATAATAGCGCGTTACTCTGATTTAGCTGTTTTTACAACTCAGATTTACTTTTTACCAAGGGTCGATATCAATTACAAGAATGGGTTAGGGTCACAATTTATATAGGCAACCCGGAGCGTTGCTCCGGGAGGGTACACAGGTCGACAAATAGTTTCATGGACGATAATAACGGATAATAATTGAGTAAATCCCAAAGTTGTTTTGTTTTTAATCCTTAAAAGCACTACCAGCCCAACTCTCTAGTTGATTCTAACGTGGGCATCTACTGTGCCTGCTTCGCAGCCGCAGCATCTGCCCGAGAATGCGTAATTGAACAAATAGTTGCGCACATCGAAGTGTATCGATACGGAAATGATGTTTCAGCCAAACATTTGTGAGGCTGGTAACCAGCAAGCCCCGCTCTTCTTTATCGTGGTGGGTTCTCAGGAACCGAAAGTCACCAATTGAGGTTGCCTGGTCTGATGAGGCCATCGGTGACATAACACCCTGGTCAGCGTCCAATGGCTGCGTTGGCGCCAGCAACGAGAGAGCTATTTCATTCATTTTGCAGGTAAGGTATACTGTGCTCATTTTTGTATTATGTTGTGTGCTAACGATCAGACGAGAGAGCTACAGTAGCGGAACGAAATGATGTGCTGATCTTGACCTTTTAACTTGAGGATGTTAGCTAAGTGACAATAATGATCCTCAATTCAAAAACAAAACAAACAAACAAACAAGCTTTTAACTTGAGGGCTTGGGGGGTAAATTGCGGAATGAGGAATACGCTAATGGGCCAATTCCTTGGAAGTGGGTGCTTCAACGCAGGGAAAAAAAGTCTTATTCAAACGAACGATGCTCGTGTCACTGTCGAGTTGAGCTGATTGGATTGGGGACAGACACGAGGTTGGGCATCTTCGGCTAAGAGTGATTGGGTATTGAGCAAATTGATATGTAAAAAATGCAGCCTGTACCTAGACAAGTCATGTTGGTCATCTTCAGCTAAGCTTGGTCGATTATGGCGCAAATTGATACGCCTTCAGCGAAGCCATGACGCTCTCATAGTGTGCTGGAGCGTCCGTAAGTGTTTGAATGCAGGTTTTGGTAAATAATAAACGATTAGTATCAGCCTTTGGTAAATAATGTGCATAAATCTTAGCATTTATCGTCGGGTACCCGATTCCGGCAGATATTAGCTTAAACATTACAATTAAGAAAGAGAGACCCGGTTTGGTACCCGGTTTTGGAAAGTTACAAGTTTTTTGCCGAGGCCAAGCACAGGTCTTCGACCTGTGAAATCACGTCGACTGCGGCCGAAAACGGCGAAAAAAATGGGTTTAGTACCGCAATGGTTATTAATAGAAGGTAGAATCAGTCGGTTTCATTTCTAAATGAACTGTTGTCACTAACTAATAATGCCATAAGACCCGAGGGTCGAAGTTACGAAACAGTGATTGCGACGGTTAGTATGGAGGATATCAGAAATACCTTAAAATGCGAAGTTTTAACTCAACTTGGACATCCTTAGGACCCCTTGTTAAGGCTATATTACCTGTCAAACCTTATGCCTGCGTAAAAAGGGTAGTAAAAAGTCTGAAGCGATTAGGGGAACTAATTAGGGAGCTTTTTTTTAGGACTGCGCCCTTAATAGGCGACGATATGCATAAAACAATCTCCTTTCAGAGGGGAAAATCTTTCAATGAGAAGTTTCCGGCAGAGCGCAGCGATGACGGAAGCGCGCTTTTCGGGTTCGATCGGAGTGAAGCGCATGCGCATGTTCGAGTCCAAGGGCAACTTCAACGTAGACGTCAGGGGGTTTCCCGACAAGAGTCTCAAGATGCTGAACGACAAGAGGCGGTTGAGTCCGCGGCGTCGCAAGCGGCCTCGTCAACGCAGTCAGTTTTGTCCTCTTCATCCCACAGCCGGTCGCTGGTAACCAACCGTGGGTGCAAGGTTCTGATGCGGTAGTTGTCGGCGAAGTCGTGTAGGTAGAGCTGCTCATTTAGACTTTCGCTCCGTCAGCGCGAAGGGCTACGGGCGACAAGTTCAAGTGCGCGCAGGCCTCGAACACTTCAGGCAGCGCGTAGCTAATTTTCACCCACCACACCACACCCTGGGGCAGCCTCCTCGAGCCTTGCTACGCAAGCCACTCGAAGGCAAGCCTCATTTAACGAAGAATGAGCAGGTCTGGTTTTTCCCCACATGCCTTCTTGAAGAGAGACGGGAAAAGGGGACTATCACTCACCTGGAGTTCGGCAGTTCTCCCGCGGCTCCTCGCGAAGCGTCGTCCCATACTTTAAGTAAGTCACCAGAGATCGGCTTTGGCGGGTGGGCGTGATTCCCGAACTCTTTCGCGACCTCAAGCAGCAGCTTCAGCGAAAGTGGGCTGGGATTGCGACCCTTGGCGAGCCTCTACACAGCGAGCCGCCATCGGGTCGAAACGACGCATTCCTTCACCATGCAGGCACAGCCCCGACAAGTTCGCCGTAGCGTACCAGCAGCTGGCCGAGACGATCAAGGTGGGCGACACAGTGCTGCCTGACGGACGGACACATCCGCCGGGCGTGCACGGCCGTGGGTCAGGGCGAGATCACGTGCCACGGAGGAGATCGGCATCCGCAAGGGCGTGAACCTGCCCGACCTCATCGTGGAGCTGCCGGCGCTGTCGGAGAAGGACAAGCGCGACCTGGAATGGGACGTGGAGCTCGACATCGACTTCATCGCGGCGTCCTTCATTTGTAAGGCCAGCGACGTGCACGAGATCCGCGCGTTCGTGAACGAGTGCATTAAGAAGACTAAGTACATCGCGCCCAAGATCATCTCTTAGGCGGAGAGCTTCGAGGGTGTGTAGAACTTCGAGGAGATCCTCGAGGCCTCGGGCGGCATCAGGTGCGTGGAGGTGACCGCCCAGCACGTGCTGGCGTACCAGAAGATGGTGGTGAGCCGCTGCAACGCCGTGGGCAAGCCCGCGAATGTAGCCACGCAGATGCTCGAGTACACGCAGAACAACCTGCGCCTGACGCGCGCCAAGGTCTAGGAGGTGGGCAACGCCGTGCTGGACGGCGCCGACTGCGTCATGCCTAGCGGCGAGTTGGTGGCCACCATGAACATGGCCGTCAAGGAGGCCAACGACCTACTGCTGCAGCCCACGTACCGCACCAAGTCCCAGTTCGACTTGCGCACGTCGGCCGTCAAGACGGCCAATGAGATGCACGTGCAGCTCTAACCTCCACGGGCTACACGGCGCGCAAGGTGACCAAGTACAAGCGCGCTTAAATACGGCCGTGAGCTACGTGATCCTCGCGGGCGAGGTTTACTTCGAGGAGACAACGGCGGCAAGGTGATTTAACACCTGCGATCGCCGGCTCCGTCAAGCGTTTTGGTCCCAGCAGCAGTGTGGCGAACTTGTCAATGGCGTGATCCGCATCACGCCATTGCGTGCGGCGGCATTTGCCATTAAGTAAGGATACTTTATGCCATGTACTTGTTAACATTACTGATAGCCTTCAATTTCATTTGCAATTTGCTCCGTGCTAGACTTCCTATAGTTCTATTGCTCAGTCGCGATAGCTGTAGTATCGTGCTGAACGAGGCGTCGGCTCAGACATGGGGGAGCAGGGGAATCAATAAAATTGGCGCAATTAGTTGAAGTGTAGTAGCTCGGCTGAGTTTGGTGTGGCAACCGAGTGCTCTACTCTTCCGTCGTGATGGAGGCGCGAAGTTCGCTGGCTTTGGATGCGTGTGTTTTAGGCAGCGAGCGTGTGGATGCCACTTTTTTGATTGCCGACTAGCCACTTCTGAAATTAATTAACCGAATAAGCTTAGCCACTTTTTGGGTTGCTTGGTGTCGTACTTAAATGAGAACGATAGCACCAACGCCCGCCGCAGGCGGGTCCTGCAAACTACCGAGCGAAGCGAGGTGCTCTCCCTTCGGGGGGAGGTAGAAGGGGGTCTAGGGTTTTGTGCCCCAAGGGTAAAGTGGTTTTAGGGGTCAGGGTGTACTTATAATGCCAAGGCGACTTAATGTTCAAGCTAGAACGCTACCTGTGGTTGTTTCGGCATTCGTCTCCGCCTGCCTGAGCGGGGTTGTGGGAAAGATGGCATTCGTGTTTAGTGCAGTCGCTGCAGCGACTAGCGTAGTGTCTGGATAGCTGTAAATGATCAATCTAAGTCTATTAGTTCGGCGCTCGTTCTGGGCTGTAAAGCGTGCGTCCGAAGACGCTATACGAACGGCTGCGCAACAGCACAGAATGTCGCGCTGACAGTGCATGCAACACGCTCGGATCTTGCTCCTTGCCCATCAGAGGGAGGCTCATCAGGTTGAGCGCCGCTGCTACACTCGGAAGTTCCGATAGATTTTCGGTAAATGCGGCTGGGTATTGGTCGTTACCTAGATAGGTAGGTTAAATGCATTCAATCTTACCTAAACCTTGAAATAAATGCGGCTGGACTTACAACGATAAAAGGTTAGAAGTGATAGATACTGCATAATACTTATGTAGTATCTATCACTTCTGGTTTACTCTTTCGGTCAAACATCTCTCGGTTGGGTTTTCTTTTCGGCAGACGGCAGCAGTAATTCAGCAGCACTACAACGCTACAGGGAACTCGAAGCTTTACGGTATGACTGACGCTATGGCAGGCACTTATGCTCGTATTCTAGTTGCCTATTCGTTTCAACGCATCAGCAACCTCATCGCAGACCCCAATATGTGGGGGTTTGCATTTGCTTGCGACATCACAACCCACACCGATCGCTCTTTCATGGATCAGCGTGTTCGTGTTGCCGTCAACAGCGTGCTAGTCAACCTACACTTGATCGCGGTCCCTATGTTTGACTGCCACACTGCTGTGGTCCAAGTTCAACTGATTGTTCGAGTACTCGATATTTTGTTCGCTAACTGAAGACAGAAGTTGGTTGGTATTTCATCGGATTGAGAGAACACTATGACAGGCCGTCATGGAGGAGTGGTCACTCTTTTAAAGAAAGAGGCCACCCACTCGGTGCTGAGAGTGTGATGTGCTGCTCATCAGATGGACCTGGTCATAAAAGCCGGTTTTGCAATTGTTGGGAATGGAGACTTTGTGAAGAAGACAAAGGATTTAGTTGTTCACCTTCGCCGCCAGACAACGCTGATTACTGAACTAAGAGGTGTCGCCAAAAAACTAACTAATCGGTGGCTGTACATGGGAAACGCATTGCAGTGGATATTAAAAACCATTTTCGCCTCGAAGAACACCTCAATGAAAACGTGTCTGCGGCACCAACGCCATCATGGTGGGTCAATGCAGCTGTTGTTTGTGGGATAATGGTGGTGGTGAACGTCACGTTTGTCAAGATACAGGGGAAGGATGTCCTGCTCTCACAGCAAATGATTGAGCTCCTTGTAGATCGCCTTCGCAAACTGCTACGAGTTGAACGCGTACCTAGCTCTGAATTCCAATATAGCGCTAATGACACGATTTCTACGAAGTACTTGCTAAAAGAGCAACATTTACATTCCAGACCAGGGGACGTTCGTCAAGAATCACATGAATAGTGCTGCAGATGCCGACAAAAAATCGATTCTGAGGCAGCTTGGCAATTTTGTACTGCATCTAATTGAAGGTATGGAGCATGTACAAGCTGAGCGAGACAGCAACAATGACGCTGCCGCATCTTTGGCTCCGCCAGTAATGCCAGCTGAGCTTGTCACAGTCCCTCCTCGCCAGTTTGCAGAAGATATTTTGAATCCTCGCCGCGATCAATTGGCTTTGTTTTGGAGTGAGGCAAAAATTGAAGCCGTTGAACGGGAGCATCGAGAGCTGTGTCAAGCAAATCTGCTTGATGAGCTGGTTCGCACAGCCCTGGAGGAAGAATCGTATGACACCAGCTTCAACGACGCCTGGGATTCAGTTCAAAACGCTGCTGCTCCAAAGACAATTTCACATCTCCGCCAGTTCTGCTGCGGATTGTATTCGCGAATACGGCGTTCGTCGAATCCGATTTTTCCGTATTGAAGTGTGAACTGAACGACAAGCGCACTTCGTTGACTTCTCTAGCCCTTGAAGGCATCTTCCAGGCTAAACAGCTCGATATGCTAGAGAAATTGTAGTAAAATGCATACTTTATTTCCTTAAACTTGCACTGTGCCGAAATAAACAAAACAAGAGTGCCGAAATATAACTAATCCGACACATCCCGGCAGGTGCCAGGTCTAACATAAGTACATTATGTACCAAACCTCTTGAGGATGCGCCCGACATCGATGTGCCCTCTGTCCGAGCTTTGGTAGATTATCTATCGGAAGGCTGCGGGTCAGTGTGACCCATATCCAGATCCGTGAATATTTTACAACAAAGATATTATTCCTTTCATGCCCGACCCATACAATACCAGAGACATATCGATTTGTCAGTCTGGGTGATTTGGGTGTATCGAAAATGCTAGGGAATGTCCCACCACCGATTTGCACCGGATCGGACCTAATGTGACCGTTTGCCACCGAATGTGTCCCGCTTCAGTGTCCCGGTTCCCCTTCAACACCGTCACGCTGCTGTAGCACGCTTTGGGCGGCTCAAAGCTTCTTGACAACCTTCGTAGGGCGCGCTCGATCTACACGGAGCATGGTATGTAGTTTAGAGACCCTACTTTAGTGTGGGAGTCACCCTTACATAGTGCATCTTCAATACAGTGAATAACTGCGTTAAGGGCTCTGTTGCGGGGGCCTACGGCTTCAATTTAGTGTCAGGAGGATGCCATCGTGCTCTTTCTTCTAGCTACGATGTACTACTGAAGAATGCATTGCGTAGCGGGCCTAGAGGACGTGCAACTTGCGCTATCACGCAGCAGTCGCTTTGCGTTCACATATATGTCTCCTTATTTGCATCTAGAGCATCTGATAGCGCGGACTTCATTCCTACAACAGGTGAATACTACTAGGCAAAGGGCCTGGACGTATACGCCGCTCGCACCCATCGTTCAGGTCGTCGGAGATACCAATGAACCTGAACATCCAAGCCTACTTTGCGTTCACGATACCTCGCAAGTAATACATTTGTGCAGATACTCCTAACTACGTCAAACTACAGTCTGATAGTGTCCTGATAGCCTTCCACGTGCTTCCGCCGGCGGCGGAGATTGTCGGAGTTCGGGTGCAAATGTCGGAGATGTCGGGGCCTGGAGGCCCCAACATCACCGATAAGTCGGTGATTTACTGCTCTCCTATCCATACGTATGGATATCTTTCTTGAAGACCTACCTTTGGCGTGTTCTCGCCTCTCTGGTTACCAGTTGTCGGCTTCATATTGGCCATTCTGACCAGATCGACTGGGGGACGTCGGCCAAAACTATGTGGTATACATAGTTTGAGGCGTCGGCCCTAAAGCAACATGCCGAAGCGCAGCGAACGTGGTGCTCAACTAGTTTAATGTTTTATTTTTAGGCGATCTGCCATTGGGCGGGCGCGTGGGAGATTTCTGACAACGTAGCATGAAGTCATCAAATCAAATCCTCCACATCAGCAACTGTATACAGACGATCCTCTCCGTAGTGATAGCCTCGGGAGACCACTTTTTATCACAATCCAGAGGCATCACTATCTAAATCTGTACCACAATGACGGTACAATATCGTTTCAAGGTACCTTTGCAGTGATATTAATAATGCGTACTTGGGGCTTGTACTGCACTCGATACGTGGTCAAAGCACTAGATAAAAGTATTTGTTGTGCTGGATGCTATAATATTTACTTTTCGATATAAATAAAAATGTATTGTGCTTTGCAAACGTTTTGTCTCCTCGATTTATCATTAAGTCGAGGTCGATTTAATAAAACGAGGTCAAAGAAAGGGACAGATCGATCTATTTAGACCAGCTAATAACTCGAGCTACGACAATCCAAATCAGGGCTCGAGGTCGATCTCCTGGTGGATCTGGGCAGAACGAGGTCGATCTACGGTAAATCGATCCCTTTTGCGTTTTCAAAAGCGCAATTCGAGGTCGATCTAAGTAAATCGAGCTACCGCCTCTGTTTTGTACCCTGATTTGTGGACCGGCCTTCCTCGATCTAGGCCATAAAACGGGGCGACATTTATCTGCAAAGCACAATATGACATAAATATATCTCAAATAAAGCCGCGTCGGGCTTTCCCCTGAGACTGAGCCCAGCACTCAGCTCTCCACGTCTGTTACCGATGGTGGTCGGTGCTGGAAGTGTGCTGTTCGCCGTGCGCCAGGCTCCACTT